GTAGGACCACCACCACAAACCTCACACACCACATAATTCCACCCACACATTCATAGACAACCAATCACTCGCATCTATCCCCACACTCATACATGTGCCCTTGTCCAATTAGCTACGCTATCTCCCCAGGGCGTCGCCGGGGATGAAGGTACAAAGCAGACAATGAATATATGCGCTATAGTACCCAATTGCCTAAAACCTATATTCCCATGCCATTATTGCACTTATTAGGCTAGAGCAATCAATTTACTGGGCTCAGCATTAAGGGCGGGCTTAGAATTATGTAGATACAGCAGGAATTTTCTGAAATTTCAATAAATTCAGCTCAGCGTCACGTTACATTTTTTTGGAAGCTCAGAGAGTATTTAATCTACACCGGTGTTCCCCTATGTTCCCCCTCCCGCTGCCCAAAACTAAGTCTTAACCTCATTGTTTGAAACCTGCACCTCAATGTAAAACATTTCTGTTAAAATGTAGCCAGAAAGTACAGTGTGTTGCTATTTGTCATTCTGACTCCTGTTTGTCACGATGTGCTCAGTGCTGATCTTATCAGGCAGCTGTGGGTGTGGAGCTGATGTGGTTACCTGCCAGGCCTTTTAAATTCTCGACTTGGTTTTTGCAAAGCTCTGCAGCTTATCTGTGGTATATAAAGTGTTCCCATGTATAAATATGTCACAGAGGCAAATTCCCTATCTCTAAGCGTAATTATAATAAAATAAATTGTCTGCCATGTGTGAGACTGAGATCTTGTTAGATTGGGGGCTCCACTTTCACACATTTGGTGAAGCAGGAGCAGGGGGGGGGAGGGAGGTAATAAAAATACAAGACGATTGCTGATTATTGTTTAGCCTAGCTACGCCTTTGAAGTATTTTGGTTGTTGTTGGGGACATTTTGTTTGTTTGTTTGTTTATTTGCATGCGGTGACTTTGAATAACTTGGCTTGAACGTCTGTCAATTGTTCAGCGTATTGTGTGATAGCTATTCGCCAGCTTTTTATTGTGCACTTTTCCCTTTGCATATCGGTATATTATATTCCTCCTCGTTAAAGAATAATTAGTGGTAAGTAGGACTCTTTCCTCTTTGTGTTGGCCGTACCGCTAACAGATCTGATTAATTGAAGGCATATCTATAAACAGCTTGCAAAAGCTACAGATCTCTTGTCTGCAGCCTTTACAAGCCTTCCCCTTTTAACCCCTTCTAAGACTTTCTGTGGCTGTCCAATCACAGACATCCCAATGCAGATCAATAAGAAGTATTTGCAAGGCAGGTGCTCTGGGCAATCGCTGCCTCCTGAGTTTATCTCCACTGAGCTAAACAAACCAGGAAGTAACAGGAGCAGTGACTGTTTGACAATCAAGGAGGTGTAACCAGGCTAATTTATAAAAATGTCAATTTCAAGAGGACACACTCTTCACACATAAAGCTAAAGCGCTTTAGAGGTCTGGAGTGTCTTTTTAAATCTCTCAAGGCAGTTGCTAGCTCGCTATGTTAATTAAACCGATATACCTCAATATGCTTATCGTTTATAACTAATGCAACTATCCCATATGTCCATAGGTGGAATCCCCGCTGAAGAGGAGCAGGTAGACAAAATAATTCTATTATTTTTCTCATATTTTACCTATAAACATTATTACTGATTTACTATTCCGTGGATATATAGTATTAAGTCAGCGTTCTATCTAAATAGACTATTCTAAAGCAGAGCACTTTCCCCTTTAATATTAAAAGGAATCGACATAGCTCAGTTCTGATGTTGCAGAAGTGTATTGTAAATCGCAGAGGAATAAGTTGGCACTATATAAATGCCGAAAATAATATTAATAATATTAAGTGAAATACGGATTTATTTTGAACTACTGATCACTGAACATAGGAAATTATGTACAAATACATCTCACATATAATTATTATAATTTTTTTTATCATTAATTCCTTACTTTCTATTTAATGGTTTTTCGTTTTGCTTTCATTTCAGTGTTTTTTTTTATGGTATTATTATTATTATTATCTTATAGTACAACATATTTGTGCAGTGTGGATATAAAATAGGAAAAGACAAAAAGAAAAGAGAAGAACAAGACGTATGATACTGCGCCATATTAATTACAGGACATTAATGTGGTTCCCGTAACATTTTATTTATAATATTAGAGTGTTGGTGTTTAAATTACTGCACCCATCTGACTGTTTGTCTGTCTATCTCATGTAACAAACACAATATTGGTAATTAGCTGGATCTCTGTAAATTTGTAGAAATAGCCATTAATTATGTGACTATCGTGCTGTTTCCATCTGATCGCTGTAAACGCCTCTTGTTTGTGTTTTACATTGTTTCTGTGACCAAAGGGCCTTTCGGACTACTGCGTCCATGTCAGCACATCATACCAGGCCGACACTCACGTCCTCGCTTGCTCCGCATTATTCACCCATTGTTCTGAAGGAGCTAGCCTTGACCTGCCTTGTATTTCTAAAAGTGTGCTTCCGTTGGGTTATTGTATGTGCTGAAGAAGTAACTTGCAGTCTGTTTCCTGTAGGAGAACGATGCTCGGGCCTGGATATTTCGACCCCGACTCCTGGTTTCCTCTACTTCCTGTTGACGATGGTTGGAAAGTTGGGTGATTTTATCACTGGGACTGGACAAAAAAAAAGGAATTTTAATAAATTTAATGGGGATTTTCATAACATTTCCCTGAAACATTTGGTCCACAACGTGTATTTGTTATAAATAGGCAGCTGTTTTTTATTGCATTTAGTGCAAACAAGTTTAGTTTTTTTAATCAAAACTTAGAAACAATTGTATCGGACATGCCGTTTCTTCTGAATTGTAAGCTTTTCACAGAATTGCATACGTTACGTTCCCATCCACGTGTGTATTCTCTCTTTGTCCAGGATTGCAGACTATTATTTCACTTTACAAGGAAATGGCCAGGATTTGCGTAAACTATCAGATTAACAAATAATGCAATAATTTTTACAATCTGCCATTATTTAATCTTCTATTACATGGTCACATTAATAAGAGCTGTGTTCTTACAGACTAGATTATAATTTAGGATTTGAATTATTACATAGTGTTGGCAATGCACTCGTTGCGCGCATACATTTTTTGACAAATGTTGGAGTTAATTTACTAAACAGGGAATTGAGGACAAAGTAAACTGCAATTTCTTTATGGTTAATATATCCAAGCTGGATAAACATTGCAGAGTTGAGACCATCTGCAATAGCCATATTCATTGTTTCAATTCCATATTTGGTGAATAAACTCTCATTGATTGTTTCCCATGTAACTATGTTGTACAGCCTACTGGCACTGAACAGGTTAAGCCATTTTCCTATATTAACATATAAAGTTCATGTTTTGACCGGCAAGCCGCCCTACGGAGGACCCATGAACAGGCTTGGCAGTTCATCTGTGCTATTGGCAGGAGCGTGCTTTCTCCATGTGCTAGGTAAAGCCAGTCTAAGCGTGACGGAACTCGTCTTCCTTTCTAGCGTGTCCTAGGCCAGAGGTCGGACCTGTAGGAGACCATTCTGCATGTCATCTGGTGCTTCCTGTTATTGTGTCTGATCCGTCTGTGACCGTGTGCTGTTGATGACACAGAACTCACAGCAGCCCTCCTGAGGTCACCAGTCTCTGCGTTCAGCCAAACTCTGTGACACGTTGATAGTGCTCGCTATCTGATGGCTGTCATTTCTTCTTGATTTTTGCCAGCTGAGCTGCCACCCATTCTCTCCACAGTTACATTCTGTCTAATCATTCTGAATCATCTCCACGTCAACGTACACGCAAACCCTAGCACAAAGCACATCGTGGATCCCGTTGGGTCAGCAGCCATTTGGCTGTAATCCTGTTTTTCTTCTCTAAAATCACCGGATATTTTGTCACTGTGTTTTGGAAAAAGGAGAGGCTGATTTCCATTATTACCAGAGTGGTATAATTGACACAGTGAAAAAACATATTTCGCTAAATTAGAACAATTAATACATTTACTCATATAATAATTTATTTATTGTGTGTATTTCATGCCATTAAATTATATAAGGGATAATACCTTCACCATACTTCTCATACTGATTTTGCCAGCGGTTTCTTTAACATTATTTGCAGCATACACAGTGCGGTCTGAAAATGTGAAATGTTTCCATATTTCTAATATACTTTTTATAATTATTAGGTGACTGGAGAAACAATCTGTGCCATTTGAGCAACAAAATGTACAGACAAACAAGATGTACAACCCAACAAGACGTACAACCCAACAAGACGTACAGACAAACAAGACGTACAGACAAACAAGACGTACAACCCACCAAGATGTACAACCCAACAAGACGTACAGACAAACAAGACATGCAACCCAACAAGACATACAACCCAACAAGACGTCCAACCCAACAAGACGTACAGACAAACAAGACGTACAAACAAACAAGACGTAGAACTCAACAAGACGTACAAACAAACAAGACGTCCAATCCAGCAATAAAACAAAAGACGTATTCTCTAACAACACATTCATCCCAACACATAAAGCCCAACAAGATGTACATCCCAGCAGTAATATACACGGCATACAGACTAGCAGTAATGCAAAACATGTACATGCTGACATACAGTCTGACAGTAAATCACAACATGTATAGCACAAGACATACAGTCCTACTACAGATCATTCAAATCATTCACTGTTTCAACACTTTTTTTTTAAACTGTAGTTTTATTTTAGTTTTATTTTTGTATGTATCTAGTGTTTGTTTATGGGGTCTGAACTGAGTGCTGGGTCATATGAATGAAGTCAACATGACTTCCACACAAACCCTCAATACAGATTTCTCTGAGACACTCTGTCACTTTGTAGCCATCTTTCTTGGATAGTAGACGAGCCATTGGGTGATCATACTGTAGGTTCCATTCCAGATATTTGTTACTCATTGGAAAATCTCTCTGTCACAGGACGATCTCTCTATCACTGGATGATTCCACTGTCACTGGATGATCTCACTGTCACTGGATGATCTCACTGTCACTGGACGATCTCACTGTCACTGGATAACCTCACTGTCACTGGATGATCTCACTGTCACTGGACGATTCCACTGTCACTGGATGATCTCACTGTCACTGGATGATCTCACTGTCACTGGACGATTCCACTGTCACTGGATAACCTCACTGTCACTGGATGATCTCACTGTCACTGGACGATTCCACTGTCACTGGATGATCTCACTGTCACTGGATGATCTCACTGTCACTGGACGATCTGTCAGTCACTGGATGATCTCACTGTCACTGGATGATCTCTCTGTAACTAGACAATCTCTCAGTCACTGGACGATCTCTCTATCACTGGATAACCTCACTGTCACTGGATGATCTCACTGTCACTGGACGATCTCACTGTCACTGGATGATCTCACTGTCACTGGATGATCTCTCTGTAACTAGACGATCTCTCAGTCACTGGACGATCTCTCTATCACTGGATGATCTCACTGTCACTGGACGATCTCACTGTCACTGGATGATCTCACTGTCACTGGACGATCTCACTGTCACTGGACGATCTCACTGTCACTGGATGATCTCACTGTCACTGGACGATCTCACAGTCACTGGGCGATCTCACTGTCACTGGATGATCTCTCTATCACTGGATAACCTCACTGTCACTGGACGATCTCACTGTCACTGGATGATCTCACTGTCACTGGACGATCTCACTGTCACTGGATGATCTCTTTGTAACTAGACGATCTCTCAGTCACTGGACGATCTCTCTATCACTGGATAACCTCACTGTCACTGGATGATCTCACTGTCACTGGATGATCTCTCTGTAACTAGACGATCTCTCAGTCACTGGACGATCTCTCTATCACTGGATAACCTCACTGTCACTGGATGATCTCTCTATCACTGGATAACCTCACTGTCACTGGATGATCTCACTGACACTGGACGATCTCACTGTCACTGGATGATCTCTCTGTAACTAGACGATCTCTCAGTCACTGGACGATCTCTCTATCACTGGATGATCTCACTGTCACTGGATGATCTCACTGTCACTGGACGATCTCTCTGTAACTAGACGATCTCTCAGTAACTGGACGATATAACCTCACTGTCACTGGACTCACTGTCACTGGATGATAGACGATCTCTCAGTCACTGGACGATCTCTCTATCACTGGATAACCTCACTGTCACTGGACGATCTCTCACTGTCACTGGATGATCTCACTGTCACTGGATGATCTCTCTGTAACTAGACGATCTCTCAGTCACTGGACGATCTCTCTATCACTGGATATCTCACTGTCACTGGACGATCTCACTGTCACTGGATGATCTCACTGTCACTGGACGATCGATCACTGTCACTGGATACTGGACGATCACTGTCACTGGATGATCTCACTGTCACTGGACGATGTCACTGGATCACTGTCACTGGATGATCTCTCTGTCACTGGATCTCTCTCAGTCACTGGACGATCTCTCTATCACTGGATAACCTCACTGTCACTGGATGATCTCACTGTCACTGGATGATCTCTCTGTAACTAGACGATCTCTCAGTCACTGGACGATCTCTCTATCACTGGATAACCTCACTGTCACTGGATGATCTCTCTATCACTGGATAACCTCACTGTCACTGGATGATCTCACTGACACTGGACGATCTCACTGTCACTGGATGATCTCTCTGTAACTAGACGATCTCTCAGTCACTGGACGATCTCTCTATCACTGGATGATCTCACTGTCACTGGATGATCTCACTGTCACTGGACGATCTCTCTGTAACTAGACGATCTCTCAGTCACTGGACGATCTCTCTATCACTGGATAACCTCACTGTCACTGGACGATCTCACTGTCACTGGATGATCTCACTGTCACTGGATGATCTCTCTGTAACTAGACGATCTCTCAGTCACTGGACGATCTCTCTATCACTGGATAACCTCACTGTCACTGGACGATCTCTCTATCACTGGATGATTCCACTGTCACTGGATGATCTCACTGTCACTGGACGATCTCACTGTCACTGGATGATCTCTCTGTAACTAGACGATCTCTCAGTCACTGGACGATCTCTCTATCACTGGATAACTCACTGTCACTGGACGATCTCACTGTCACTGGATGATCTCTCTGTCACTAGACGATCTCTCTGTCACTGGATAACCTCACTGTCACTGGACGATTCCACTGTCACTGGATAACCTCACTGTCACTGGATGATCTCACTGTCACTGGACGATTCCACTGTCACTGGATGATCTCACTGTCACTGGATGATCTCACTGTCACTGGACGATCTGTCAGTCACTGGATGATCTCACTGTCACTGGATGATCTCTCTGTAACTAGACAATCTCTCAGTCACTGGACGATCTCTCTATCACTGGATAACCTCACTGTCACTGGACGTCACTGGACGATCTCACTGTCACTGGATGATCTCACTGTCACTGGATGATCTCTCTGTAACTAGGCGATCTCTCAGTCACTGGACGATCTCTCTATCACTGGATAACCTCACTGTCACTGGACGATCTCTCTATCACTGGATGATTCCACTGTCACTGGATGATCTCACTGTCACTGGACGATCTCACTGTCACTGGATGATCTCTCTGTAACTAAATGATCTCTCAGTCACTGGACGATCTCTCTATCACTGGATAACCTCACTGTCACTGGATGATCTCACTGTCACTGGACGATCTCACTGTCACTGGATGATCTCACTGTCACTGGATGATCTCTCTGTAACTAGACGATCTCTCAGTCACTGGACGATCTCTCTATCACTGGATAACCTCACTGTCACTGGACGATCTCACTGTCACTGGATGATCTCACTGTCACTGGATGATCTCTCTGTAACTAGACAATCTCTCTGTCACTGGACGATCTCTCTATCACTGGATAACCTCACTGTCACTGGATGATCTCACTGTCACTGGACGATCTCACTGTCACTGGACAATCTCACTGTCACTGGATGATCTCACTATCACTGGACAATCTCACTGTCACTGGATGATCTCACTATCACTGGACAATCTCACTGTCACTGGATGATCTCACTCATCCATCCATAGACAAGTTGTGGAACTGCACTCAGCCCTTCACCTTGGAATCCTAGGGTGCTCTTGGATCAGTCCCAGTACCAAAGAGACCAGATATAGCATATATTGGTAGAAAAGTAATCCAGGCATTCCAAAATGTTCCAAAGCGTAGGCAATTTTATTGGACCCAAGAACCAAAATGCAATGTTTTGACCACTTAGGGCCTTTATCAAGCTTGATACAGGCCCTAAGGGGTCGAAACGTTGCATTTTAGTTCTTGGGTTCAATAAAATTGCCTACGCTTTGGAACATTTTGGAGTGCCTGGATTACTTTTCTACTAATGGATGATCTCACTGTCACTGGATGATCTCACAGTCACTGGACGATCTCACAGTCACTGGGCGATCTCACTGTCACTGGGCGATCTCACTGTCACTGGACGATCTCACTGTCACTGGATGATCTCACTGTCACTGGGCGATCTCACTGTCACTGGATGATCTCACAGTCACTGGACGATCTCACTGTCACTGGATGATCTCACTGTCACTGGGCGATCTCACTGGCACTGGATGATCTCACTGTCACTGGATGATCTCACTGGGTGATCTCACTATCACTGGATGATCTCACAGTCATTGGACAATCTCACATTCACTGGGCGATCTCACTGTCACTGGATGATCTAAGTCACTGGGCGATCTGACAGACACTGGGCGATCTCACTGGATCATTGGTTGATCTCACAGTCACTGGATGATCTCACTGTCACTGGGCGATCTCACTGTCACTGGATGATCTCACTCATCCATCCATAGACAAGTTGTGGAACTGCACTCAGCCCTTCACCTTGGAATCCTAGGGTGCTCTAGGATCAGTCCCAGTACCAAAGAGACCAGATATAGCATATATTGGAAGAAAACTAATCCAGGCATTCCAAAATGTTCCAAAGAGTAGGCAATTTTATTGGACCCAAGAACCAAAATGCAATGTTTCGACCACTTAGGGCCTTTATCAAGCTTGATACAGGCCCTAAGGGGTCGAAACGTCGCATTTTGGTTCTTGGGTCCAATAATATTGCCTACTCTTTGGAACATTTTGGAGTGCCTGGATTACTTTTCTACTAATGGATGATCTCACTGTCACTGGATGATCTCACTGTCACTGGATGATCTCACTGGGCGATCTCACTGTCACTGGATGATCTCACAGTCACTGGACGATCTCACAGTCACTGGGCGATCTCACTGTCACTGGATAATCTAACAGTCACTGGGCGATCTGACAGACACTGGGCGATCTCACTGGATCATTGGTTGATCTCACTGTCACTAGATGATCTCACTGTCATTAGATAATCTCACAGTCACTGGGCGATCTCACTGTCACTGGGCGATCTCACAGTCACTGAATGATCTCACTGTCATTGGATAATCTCACAGTCACTGGACGATCTCACAGTCACTGGGCGATCTCACAGTCACTGGGCGATCTCACAGTCACTGGATGATCTCACTGTCACTGGATGATCTCACAGTCACTGGGCGATCTCACTGGACCATTGGATGATCTCACTGTCACTGGGCGATCTCACTGGATCATTGGATGATGCCGGTCACATTAATCTATGAATGAAAGTACAGAAATTCTCCCAGTAAAAGTTACTTTTCTCATTTCCTATTCATCAAACTAAAATGAGTCCTGTGTGGGACGTGAAACACATTTACACTTTTGATATTGATGTTTGATCTTTGAATGTATAAAAATCATCCCCGGTGGGAAATGTGACCTTTTCTTTATTTTATAACTTGCTGTTTCTATAAGACACACATTGTCTTGGTTCAAGGAGGTTCTAGAAGTTTGTGCTGTGGATTGGAGAAACATGTATTCATAGAGCTTAGAAATCATGGCTACACTTTGCAAAATCCCTTCCTTTGTCCAATGACTGAACCAGGCCTCACTCTGAGCCAAGGATTGTCTGCCAAAGGCCAGAATGGGCAGCACTCACTAACAAGTCCACAATATACTGGCAACACAACCATCGCATTTTACGGCACTGACAGAACATCAACCCAGAACAACAGAACGAGTCATAATCAGCTTTTTCCGAAAAGAATGATTACTGTGTATGAAATCAGCAGTTACAAACATTTTGTCAGCATTGCTTATTACATTGCTCTATAGATTTAGGGTATATTTAAGATTTTCTATACATTTTATCAGCATTGCCTATTATAATGCAGCGTATATTTTGGATATTCAGTTTAGATTTGGGTTATGTA